GCCTGTAAATAAATCTAACTTTTTTTACAAGTATTTTAATTTTCTGAAGTGAAAGGAAATATATCAGTCACAATTTTTTAGGTAGGAAGAGGAGCATTACTATTGCAAACAGTAACAACAAAAAAAGCGAGACGACCCTGTGATTACCCTAGGTAAATGAATCCCTTCCTCCTGCAGCTCAGATACTCACAAAAATGGGCAAGACTGGAGCATCTTTCAAAACTAAACATCTGTCTCTTCAGGGTACAGTTAAGGGAAAACGCTGCAAACCCTGAGAAGCTTCCTTTCCCACGTTGATCCCTGGAGCGTGCACATTCCCTTCCTAATAGAGAAGGGTGAGCAAATACAGTGCTGTGGATACAGCTGATAGTTTATTGGAGTATCAGGCCTGCTACAGAACCTGCTGCAATGCCATGAGTTCTCATCTGATCAGTATTGCTGTGTCCCTGGTTCTTGCCTCACTGCGCTATCGGTTAGCACACTGGACACTGAGCAGGAATAAACACTGACAGTAGTCTGCAGCTGCAGAAAAACACTGAAAGAAGCTAAAGAAGTACTCCGGTGATAGTTTTTTGGTTAATTTTACATGATTCTATGTAGCTAACCACAAACATCCCCAAAAGTCAGCTTCTAGATGCACTCCTTTTCTGTGGTTTAAATCCATGCCCATACTGAACGATGCACGAGAAGGGTGAGCCGAGACCACAGCCAGAAGATGCTCTCTGGGTATCGTTCTGTGCAACTGAACCCACTAAGCAGTAGGCCCCCCAAGCACACAAGCCACCTAGCCTCCTAATCACCCCATTCCTGTCTATGTGATGCTAAATCCAATTATTTGAGCCAAGAATGACCCTTTAGATGGAGCTGTGAAAACAGTAGTTGAGATTTAACTCCTAATAGCACAAGTCTGTGGGGCTGTGGGGCTAAGTGGGGGAGGGTGTGTCAGGGTGAAAGGACCAATCTTGGGCAAAGGACCTTTATAGGAATTATTGCAATCATCTGACCGTTGTGGTGTCCGGCACAAACAGCAAGGGAGTGAAACTGGGATTCAGATCTGGGTTATATTACTGTATCACCCTCCAAACTGCTGCTTGGGCTTGGGTGGTCATCTCTGTTTTCCCTCAGCAAAATGGGATTGCATCGATATCATGTATCAAGACTGCAAGATCATCAAACAGTGGTTCAATACTCATGTAGTTTACTTAGTCATGGCCATGCTCAGAGAACAGGATCTCAAACCTACAGCAGTGGCAAACTGCTTGCTGAAAAGGTTTTGTGATTTTTAGTTTTGTGTTTTTTTTCTCCCCTTTCTTTCTTTCTTTTTATTATGCATCTTTCTTGGTTGTCTGTCTTGTTGTATATTCTGTAGTCTGTATCAACAAGTTTGAGCAAACATATCTGACTGCAACTATCCTATCTAATTACTAGGTACATTTTTCTATCAGTACAGATAGCTGCCCTTTAAACTCTTTATGTGTTTATTACTTTATGTCCTTGCAGAATAAGTGATTGCTAAGATCTCCATGACACAGGCAGGTGACTGAAATGTAAAGACAACGTGTCCCATCCAAAATCTGTGTGTGAAGTTGGTAAGAGGAAATTGTACCTGATTCTCCTCAATTCCCAAGCTGAAGTATTAGCCACTTTCTTTCCAAGCGCAGATTACTTCTATCTGGCAGCTGTTGGAGTAATGCTGAAAGAGGAGCCTCTAGCCCCTGAGGAAATACTAAGCTGGAAGCTCATATCCTTTTTCAGAGAAATCTCCCCAAGTGTTACCAGAAATGAAGTCACATGTACCTTATTTCTGGTCAGATAACCATGTTATTGACAGAAAATTTCAGATTTACTTTTGCAGGATGATTAACTTATGTGCCTCAATCTTATATGAGACAAAAAGAAAACTGAGTTTCCTCTTATGGAAATGAGTTTTGTATAATTGCAAAAATAATGCAGAATTTCTGAGGAAAATGCAGTGTCAATTGTCTTCAGCAATTTAGGACATCTGATGGTGCACAATTGCTGTAATTAATTACCATCATCTTACAGAATTAGTTCTAATTATCTGATGCCTTTCCACTAAGAATATATCTGAAGCATTCTTTGGCAAACGTATGCCATTTTTTTTACCCAAAAGCTAAAATTTATCAGCCAGTATACAGGATATTTTGTGGGGTGGGGAAGACATAATCTAGCTGAGTTTACTGTTTAATTCATACAAATAGCAGAAATTAAGGCACTGGTCTGGGGTCTTGGTCACATAACTGCAACCAAAATTCAGCACTAAGTAAGAGGAAGATGAGTGTAAGCTGCTGGCCTGCGATTCAGGGGAACTGGTTTCATTTCTACTCTCTGCCATGCACTTTGTGCACAATACTCTGTGGGTCACTTAACATCTCAGTGCTTTATCTCCCTATCTGTAAAGCAAGGAAGTAAAGGCTATTAAGATTTTAGGGTCTAGGGGTCAAGGGGAGTTTTACTTGGAGCTTATGATTTGTGGCACAACTTGTAATGGCATGAAAGCTAATATTCCACCAAAGCTGTGAGGAGGGCGATGGCAAATGTCTTCCTCGAGGAGTCGTTCTTCTGGAATGCCCTCACATGATTCACCACAGAGTTTCACTTTGAAATCGTAAGATTGACCCATTTTTGCAGGCTTTTGGAGAAGGACAGGTTGGAGGGATATGCTGGTTAATTTTTGCAGGTTGCGGTGTGGGAGGGAATATTTCTTACAGTGAGAAATGGATTTTTTCCCCCCTCTCTTTTAAACCACTTTGCACTGTAACAATTGATTCCTTTAAATAATAAGGAAGATAGACTATCTTTTAAGCCCTTCCAAATCTCACCACATAAGAATTGTTATACTCACTGAACACCTTTCATTAGGATTGCTAAAGATAAACCCTCTCTGCTTCTTCGTAGCTTCACAAAAGCTTTTAAAAATGTAGACTCATATCTGCAGGAAGCAGCTATTATTAATGAAGCAGCTGGATTTCTTTATAAATAGGTTACTTTGCAGCCATTTGCTCTGCTAATTATTAACAGAAATGCTGATGATATATCTACAGTGCTTTGGGATGCTGAATATTATCTAAAGTCCTTTTAAAAAGCATTTTAGAAGAATAAACCATATCTGAAGTGTGAATTGAAACTGTAAAATAATATACACGGAAAGCAGCTGCAGAAATGATTAGCTCACATTGCTCCCCAGCAGTTTTGCCTACAAATATGTCTGATGCAATGTGAGAAGTATTGCTTCACAGTAACATCATAATTTTGCTGATGTCAGTTTCTATTAAAGTATCCTAATAAATAGTAACTATTCTGATAAATAAATGCATGTGAATAATAATTGGAATGTAGATATTGTAGTAGAGCACTTCAGAGAAAGGTAATTCTGCCTCATGAATTATTTCAGTATTTGGTTGTATTCTCTTCTGTGAAATCCTGCGCACACCACACATGCACACGCGCAGAGCAGAGTTTCAGGCTCAGGTGAGTCTTCCTGGGTCACTGCTGAAAATTACAGACCAGGGAAGCCCCAGGTACTCAAATTAGTGGCAGTCTGTCTGAGATGAGCCTGAAAAGTGAGAGGGGTGATTTTTAAAACCTGCCCAAGAAGAACTTGTTGATATCAAACTCTCCAGAAAAATAACTTGATTTTGAGAGATCAGCAAATTCTCACCAGAAACTGGGGTGCTGGTGTGTTTCTGACAACAGAGCAGATATCTGCCATGTGTCTTGACAAAGGAAAATAAAAAATTATTTGGGAGAGTCAGTGAAGAGGACAACAAGAAACATTAAAGAAAAAATACTATGGAATAATCAAAAGCAAAAGGAAGGGGGAAACCATGTATAGAAATATCTGAGATAATGGCTCTGATGTGCTTTCAGGACAGTATCCTCTGTTCCAGATGCTCTTTTCTTCTCGCTACCTCTTTTCCCAACCTGCTGTCAAACAAGTACTCTGTGTTTGACTTTTTCTCCGTCTCTCTGATATCAGTCGTCTTTCTAAAGTGTTGGCTTTTTTTCCCTCCTGCTAATTCACTCTTTTCTCTTAGCAGTTCCTTCTTCCTGCTACCAAAGCATCCTTGAATCACCATCATCTAGATTTTCATGCAAATATTTTCACAGCTCCTTGTCGAACACCTCTCCTTTGCACTTGAGATACCCTTCCAAACGAGTTCACAAACTTGTAGTCCTCCTATTGCCTACCCAGACCTTGCCTACAACTTCACCTTTATCATCCTGCAAGACAGTAATGGAAAGGAAGCAGTATAGTAAGGACTTTTTAAGACAAATTTTAAATACTTCACAATCAAATTATTCACACAGGATCTTATGTCAGTGGGCCTCTGGAGCATTGCCAGGGGTTCTGTTAACTAAGAGACTATTTTAGGATAAGTTTAGCTTAGGGGGGTTATCCTTGCCTTCTACTTTTCTAAGAAAAATTAAATACAATTGTGCCAACATGTTATTTATGCTTTCTGTAGCCCTTTACTGTTTATTAGTGACCTTTGGGGGTTAATTAATGCTAGGACATTTCACCCATGAACTGTTTTCTAATTCAATTTGTTAAATGTGAGTAACCATAAATAATCATAAATCAATTACTGAGTCTCTTCTACACTCCATCAACCAAAAAAAGCCATAACAAAGTATTTTTGAAGGTGATTGAGAAAAATTAACCACTTCCATAAGGATAGGCATTTGTGCTTCAATTTATCTTTTCCTTCACAAAAACACTATTTGGAACACATTTTGCTAAATATGGGAACTACTTTTGTAGAAGAAATCAATTATATTTAGTTTAAATCTTCTTTTTTTCCAGCCATGCTCTAATGTATCACTGTACCTCAGAAATGTACCCTGGGGAAACTGTTTCTATTCTTCACTAAAAATCCATGAATAACATTATGTAGAAATTAATTTATGACAAATGATTTAAAATCTTAACCTAGAATGGTGTCTTATTCAAATGTCATCAGAAAATGGCACCTCACCCGCAGAAAGGAATCAAGGGATCCATTCTCCATGTATTCAACTACAATCATTACTGGTCTGCCTGCAAAACAGCAAAGAAACACATCAGGATTATAGACATATTATGGGGCTTTTATAATTCCAGCTGTTATGCACAGATTATTCGCAGTAGTTAAATATGTTCCATATTTTCAAAATCCTCATTTATATCACAAACACAATTGCCTGTGTTATTCTCCAATAATTATTTTCTATCTTTTTTATTTTTTTTGATACTGGATTAGCTCAGCGTGCATCATTCGCTCTGGTATATTCTCCCCTTAAAAAGGATCAAAGAAGAGCCTTCTATTTCCAAATAGCAACACTTGCTGTGTAAAATTCTGGAATATACGAGTTAAGGCAAAAAAAAATAAATTCATAAGCCATATCCAAGAAGTTACAAATTCAGTGCTATAGTTTTCGTCTCAAAGAAAAATATCTCGATTTAGGGGCATACAGATAGAAAGATAGAAGAGGATGTCATAAAAAAATCTTTCCTAGATTGCATGTGTGGATTGGGTGTGTATAATCCAGCGAACTGTGAATTCACATTTGTACATATATAATACATACACAATGTTACTCAAATCAAAGGTTTGCTCAACTAGCACAGCTTTCCTGTATGGTTCCAGGGTGGGATCATATTCAAATTGAAGTAGAATAACATATTACGTATTTCTTAAAAGAACATCCAAACTTGAAGTTAAACTTTTAAACTGAGTACTTAACTAAACACCATTTCACTGTTGATACCCAGGAATAAACTACCACTCTAGAACTGCTTGACAGGAGAGGTCCAATTAGCATGCTAATCAAGCTACGCAGCAAGACGTTTTATAGAATTGTTAATATTACAGAGGAGCCATTCTAATATATGCAAAACTAATGTAATGAATAAATACGTAAGATTGGGAAGGAGGTAAAAACTCTTAAAAAGGCTAACTTTTATTTCCCTGAGAATGCCTGTCTCTTTTGGGGTTTGTGGGGAACTGGAGGTGTGCCAAGAGGTGACACCACGAGTCCGCCCATTTCACTTTCTTGATACAACACTAGCTGTTCCAATATTTTTCAAATCCAAAGGAAGCCTCTTTCATGATTTTATTTTCTTTGCCTCTCGAATTATGTTTGTGTTTTATTTGGACGAGGGGATGAGAAACAAATAGAGTGTTCAGGGTGAGAAAGTATAGAGGGGCATTATGATTGTTCCAGCAGAATTGTCCATTTCTGTACATGCTAACTTTCTGTTCAGCGTGGTTAATAGTGGAAGTGTTTATTAAAGTGTCCACAACATACAATAAGCCACAGCCAGGTATTTCTCCTAAGCTGTTACAGCTAACCTTGAATTTAAAAAAGTGAATGAGCCATTTCTCTGTTCATCACAGCATGTTGACTCAGAGTTCCAGCTACCCCCATGATGCTCATTCACGTAGCATAGCCTTGTCCTTCTGGAGCTCCTCATAATAGTCTCTTATTTCTTCTAATAAAATTTGGGGTTCTTCCTGCATTCACCCTCATGTTTAGGTCTTCAATGAATGAAACATTGCTTCATAATGTTGGCACAGTAGTACATTTTTTTTCTGTGTGAAAACTCTCAGATGCCTTAATAGTCTTTTTGGATAGCCTTTCTGAAGTGTGAAGAATTACCAGCTTCTTTTTTTTTAATTGAATGTTTGGTCTCAGCTGCAGATGTGCATCTGCCACCAAATCAATTTATATTCATCTGCATCCTTTGGTTATACCCTGCTTTTTGCATTATAAACTTAAACTTAAACTATACATCAATTTTAAGCTCTTAGAGATCACAGTATTTTTAAAATTAATGTTTTCTTTACTTTGGCTTGCTAATGATGACTAGTTGTATAGCCTAGTCTCTTTAGTTTTGAGCACATTAATGACCTAGATTCCCTTACCTTTACCATTTGCTTATTTTCAATGGGCTGACATCTCCCTGTGGAAGAAACATTCTATAATCTAGAGAAGTAAACAAATGGCAGCCTGATGCTAGAGGACCTTACTATATGCAGAACTCTCTCAAGCAAGTAGTAATTTCTAAATTGTTGCAGACAACAGCATCTTGCAATAAATATCAGATCATGTATTTGATCAGGCATAAGTTACCCAGAAATTTCTCTTTTTGAGTAAACCATCTACTAAACACCTTTATGGAAGATATGCATTTGAAAGGAATGACAAATGGAGCTACTGAGCTTCCAAACAGTGTCTTTAGTTTCTTGTTAGTAATCCTTTGGCACCCTATGCTTCCCAGAAGCTATTTTGTAAGGTTCTCTAGAGGTTCATAGGCTCTCATTACATCTTTTATGCTCCTAAGATTCATAGCCTTCAACATAAATTATTTTCATACTTACTTTGTAAAAACAATTTTTAATTCTTCTACGTTCTCTCACAAATTATGCCCCACTCCAGAAAAAAAAACAACAAACTGTACTTCATTTTGCTCAGACCAACACTATGAACTTCTAGGCTAAAGTAACTACGAAATGTATCTATATGCATTTATCTGTGGATTTAAAAAAGACATTTCAGTGTTTTTCACTGGATAATGTTTATGAGTTTTTAATTTGCTTGATGTGTTTCTTTAATCCTTGAAATGATATGCCTTAACGCATCAAGCCATCCCTGATGAAAATACTGCATCATACCAGTGAGTTGTTTCAAGAATACGCACACAAAACCAGCTCTTCCACATGATAACACAGGACTGGCATGATCCGGTAAATACACCAAAATAAGTAGTATTTATCTTCATATAGGTTGCTGTGTGTTGGAAGATCAGTATACCATTAAGTATTCAGGAAATTCAGTGAACAATACATTTAGTCACTTAGGCTGATAGCTTTCCACAGACAGTCTGTATCCCTCTCCAACCCACCTAAATTTCAAATGAATTTGATGCAAGATTGTGTCAAAACACTACAAAAAATGAAGTTAGTGCCATCACTTGATTATCTTGAGCAAAAATCTTAATCTGGATCCTAACACTAACTTCTTAAATAATCTTCTTATAGTGTGGCAGCACTTGATAAAAGCCATCCTATTTTGGCTGTATCACTGAACATATTTATGTATTCCAAGCTGGACTGTGACAGGGGATACTGAGTGAGACTTTTAGTCAGCACAGCATTTGTCTTTGGAGTACCTGTAGATCAAAAATATCTCACCCATTGTTTTGGTTGCTTGAAGATACAGTAAAAAACTCTGCTACACAGCAGATTCCAGTGGGTACATTTATCATCAAAGTGGTAACATACAGATTCTATTCCAGCATACAATTATATTCCAATCATTTTATAGGTTTGCAAATTTCATACAGGGATCTCTGAATATTTTACGAGTGTAAGTACATCAAGTGTCAGGAAACATAAGGTAGGTCACATCTTGATTTCAAAGGTGTGGTAGGAAAAACAGGCTCAGAAAATTAAGTGGCCCTCCTCATCTAGTCCATATAGTACACCCAACCAGGCTGTGTTTGGTTACCAACCCACAATATTGTATTTTCTTCCCTAGCTCAGTATCCTGTAGAGGCACTTAAGTGATTCCACTGTGCATTCACGGGGAATGAACAGACTCTCCAGTTCATAAATGGTTAAAGGAATGGGAATAGTAATTAGCACTAGTAATTGACTCTGCAGAAGCTGGCTGAGACATGAGGATGAGCAGCTGACTCTGGCATATCCAAGGGGGAGAATCCAACATGGGCATCTCAGTCCAGAGACTGTCACCAGTCCCAAGGGCAGGCAGCAGGAGAGACTGGTTTTTCACTCCCCTGTGAAAAACACTGATCCTGATGTGTATAGCTGTGGCGCTCCATCGGTTCCAGATCCCGGAAGCAAACTCTGAAAGCACAGCTCTACTTCTGATAGCCTACATATAACACAGCGCAATCTGGGATGCCTACCCTCCTAAGGGTCAGAGGGTGGCAGCCAACCCAGGGCTTGTACAGACCAAAGTTCTTGGTAAGACAAAAGGCTATGGATGACATTAGTTGATGTTAGTTTCCTTTTTAGATGCAAAGAACAGATGATATTCTTTATACTGTGGTACAATTTGAGTCCAGATTAAGGTCTGTGCTGAACCCTGTACAAACACAGAATACTGCTTTTACTTTAAAGAGGAGTACGAAACTGACTTTGAAAAATAATACTGGGAGATTTTTAAACTAGCATAATGTTTGCCTCTAGGAAAAATAAAAGGACTATTACTTAGATTATGAAAATCCATGTTGGTCTCATGGTACTAAAAAAGATGAATTCTTCATCCTTAAAACAAGGATAAGCATGAAAAAAGGAAGGGGGACAGAGACAGCTGAGACACAGAAGCAATCTTAGATTATTTCATCATGTGGCAGGCTAATGCAATTCTGGAAGGTATTGAATTATTTGCCTATATTTATGACTGCTTACACATATGAAACATGGACATCTTTACCTGAAGAAACAAGTTTAAAGATAAACAGCAGCGGGAGGCCATACAGATGGGAGTTGGGAAAGCTCAGGGCTCACTCAGAAGGACGGCCCAGGCTGCAGCACAGAGTCAGCCGTGCCAGTGCTGCGTGGGCCCGCTCCATGGGCACCTGTGAAAGCTCACACGTAGCCCTGGGGAACTCTGTACAGAAAAGAGAGCACGCACCAGAAGACACTTCTTGCGACCGATGACGAGTCCCCTACGCGGTGTGGGTGCACCTCACCAGATGGCTGGACACTCAAACTCTAGTTTAAAGACTTGACCAATTCAGGTGAGTGTTTTCAAATAGATACAGGCATATGCACTGGAGAAGTATCTGAAGAAGCACCAGGTTAATTTTAGAGCCAAGATCCGCATGAGAGAAGGCATGGAAAAAGGACACTGAAAAAGATGTCAGCTGGGGCTGACGACTTGGAATAAAAGACAGAGGTGAAGAGTATCTAGGAGCTAAAAACTGAAGACACTGCTGGAAGAGAGCACAAAACTTCATGTTTGAATTGGAGGAGGACGAAATATAAAAAGGTTTGAAGATGGATTCAATGATCAAACCAGTCAAACAAA